TTGATTTCTGTCATTGCGTGTCTCTCCTGTATCGGACACACTGTATGAGAGACCTGCATTTTATTATTCTAACGCTAAAGTATTTAACTATACTTACTGTTCCATTTGACATATGTTGCATAACTGACACTCATTTGCAGGATTTCAAGCTACTAGACAAAAGATAACCTCTAAATTATGGACATCAACATTTAAAATCATCTGAAACCAGAGCCCAGTCTGCTGGTTAGCTGGCCGGCTCTGTTGGGATTGGTCAACCGCTTAGAGATGTCCCGCCCCTTAGCCTTTCTTTGCAATGCGTTTGAGTGTAACCAATAGGAGCGCAAATGTTACATAGTGATGTGTGGGAGTGAAACTCTCCCTGTGGAGGGAGCTTTGGGATTTTAGACTTTGCAGACCATTTACATGCACTAAAACCTAACCCTAATGGTGCGTTCACACCGGATGCGATGCATTTTTTTGGGGGGCGGCGCGATTACATGTAAAGTCAATGCAGAGGCGCGGACAGACGCGAATTCGCTCCGACGACGCGCATGAAGCGGTTGATGCGAATGCCGCGGCGCGATTGAGGCGATTGAAGGGGGCCGCGACAACCGCTCGAGTTCAATTTTTTCAACTCCAGCGTCAAATTTGCGTGACGCGATCTCGCTGTAGCCAATCAGCGGTTAGGATCTCAGCCTGCCGTCACTGACGTTGAACCAGAAAACCAAAACATCAGCCGTTAGCTGCTTTATTTATGTCTGTAGGCCGTTTGGACGGAGCAGCTACAACGTTAGCTTAGCCTTATCGATCCATTCAGAAAACACGCATTTTAAAAGGTTTTTCGCCTGCCGTCTTGTCTGCAGACTTGTCAAAGCATTAATTCATGGTTTTTACTAACCGGTATCAGTATGTTGTTACTTCGGCATCATTTAGAAACGTGTATTACAATTAAATCATGGTAAAATATGTTCATTTAGTTGTAGTTGTAGCCCCCAAGCCAGCGCGTCTTGTTTGAATGATGCGAGTAAACACAGCTGACAGCCGCGGTGAAACTTGAGCGTTTAGAGCGAAGCGAATATTCGCATCGTGTCCGGTGTGAACGCAGCATAACCGTACACATGATTACATTTAAGTTTCTAAATGATTCAAGGGGCACATTGCACACATCTGGAGACTTGTTGTTCTTCCCATCCACATATTTGCTTTGTTACTTCAGAAAACACAAGTTTGGAATTCCATTTTATTAGCTCTGATGAATGTTTGAGGTCAGCATTTCTAAATTCAGTATCAAATTGTGATGGTTCATGTTGGGTAATGCGCTAACATGGCCTATGTTTATCTTGCCGTGCCTTAAATCCACCGTACAAAATTATTCTAAAAAGATTGGAGTCGTTACACAATGGAAAATGGACTCTTAAAAGCCAACAAACATACTTAAGAAAGGCTTGACTTCTCAAAGTGTGGTGGTGACCCCCATTGTCCAACAAAGGAAACGTAGGAACTGCTTACAGCTGGAGAACATTAAACGTAATGGAGGATGGATGGTGGTAAAACCGCTTCGGAAATACCTCAGAAAAGACATCTATGGGGACACATTTTACTCTCTGTTTATAACGTTGCTGTTGGTGCATGTCTTATGTGATTTCCTGTTAGCTCAAAATAGGACAGTTTGTTGATATTTGTTATAAACTAACTTGGAATACAGTACACAAGTACACAACATCTGTGCTAGTGTTTACACATTATTATGCAGTATGGAATTTTTTGTATGCATCCTGCTTTTTATTGCACAGTCAAGAAATACACTTGAGAAATGCTGTAAGTCACATGAGTCAAACTCAAGGCCCGGGGGCCAAATCAGGCCCTTGGTGGATTTAATTTCGGCCCACAGGATAATTTCTAATTACTATTCGATCTGGCCCGCCGGTATATTGCACGCACACCTTCACTCCATCCTGAGGGTCTCCTCAGCTCAGAGCCTGAGCCCAAACATTGATGAACTTGCACCCAAGATGACATGCCAAGTATCTGAGCTAGCATCACAGAGCAGCACACTGAGTTTACATGTTTCCTTCTGCACTTTTTCTCTCACGACAACAGGGCATGTTTGGTTTGTTCTTTGAGGGAAATAGTTTTTTTGAAGTTGTTGTTGGCCTGTGGAGAAATGTGATCATAAGAAATGACTCTGGAAAAGCTGCAGATAGAGACATAAGAAATGAATGCAGCTGATTATTTAATGTTTCATGTTGTTTTTATAGGCAATAATTTAAGCTTCGTTAGTCCCAGGTTTAATATGTGCAATAAGTTCATTTCAATAAGTTCTGCAATGTTTGTTTGTAGCCTTTATTTATCCAGGTTAAAAATCCCATTGAGATCAACGATCTCTTTTACAAGGGAGACCTGCGGATAAAACAATAAACATTGAACCAGTCCGTCCCTCGACTAGTACCCATTTTTATTTTGGCCCACTGTGTATTTGAGTTTGACCCCCCTGCGGACGACATGCAACCAGCTGGATTCATACGAGGGACATTTTGCTTTCATGTCCTGAGATTGTTAATGAAGGCATTTCACGATCCATTTACCAAGTTTTCAAAATGAGTCTTGGATGAGTGGTGCAACATTAACCAGACGCAAACCCAGTTTCAGTTTCCTGTAACTTGGAGATAAAACTGGATTACAAAGTGGGGAAAAATGTGCCAAGGGATCTGTGTGTCAGCTGCCTTTTAGTCATATAATACATTGTATATCTCAAAATCAACTGCCTTTTAACATAATCTTGTGTCTGTTTCTTGTTAAGAAGCTCTGGTTTCCTTAACTAAGTGATTTATTAAATCACGAGAACCTGGAGCCAGGTGGGAGAACGGCTTGGTTTCTTCCAGCAAAATGTAATGAAATAGTGCGGTGTGCATTTAGTCCAAGGGAAGCCTCATAAAGACTTTATTTAAACTTTTAAATACGTTTTCACACTAAGGGAACCTGGATCTTGTCCCACATGCTTATTCGTAGCACATTTTTTGAAAGGATCATTTCACAGTCAGTATAAACAAGAGGAATGTTTCAATGCTCATACGGGAACTTGAGTATTGTTGAAAAACGTAATCAATCTGTGAATTAAACCTTTAATCCAGTGTTTTTTGGACTAATAGGATGAGAATGTTAACAGAAAGCAGATTGTTTACTTTCATGTCAATCCTTTATCTGCAATGTTAATATTAAGTCAATTAAAGCAGCTTTGCAGACCAACTGTCCACAGTGCCAAGTTTTAAATGATGGCTAACGTGGTCAATTATTGGCCAAAGTTGATGCCAAAAGCAAATAAGTGAGAGATGATGGACTAAATCCAAGCCTGCTTTCATGGATATCCAGTGAAAATGTAATAAGCGACGAATGGTGCAACTATGGCACCACTACATCAGTGCAGAGCTGATGGAAAACAGCTTGCTGTAGTCACCGAAATCATCAAAACTTCAAGAAAAACGTTGGGTTATATTGCGTCTTTTTATTTAATATAGGAAGACACCAAGAACAATTTTATTGAAGATATATAAATATGGAAATCTGTCAAGAAATTCAATACATTTCCAAGCTGCCAAACAGTGGCGCATTCCTATATAATTATTAATCGGCTATTACATTTAGGATGGCTGATGTGGTCGATTATTCACCAGAATGCCAAATCTAAGCCTGCTTTCATGCATATCCTTTGAAAATGTTTTAACGGAGGAACGGTTCAACACATTTTCCACTAAATCAAACAGTGCAGAGCTGATGGAAAACAGCTGGCTGTAGTTCCCTAAATCAGTGGTTCTCAACTGGTGGGTTGCGGACCCGTTTCGAGTGGGTTGCAGATGTGTGATTGAAGAAAAAAATGTAACTTTTATTTTGAAGGCCCGATGTTCTAACGCTGTGCATGCAGTAGGCGTTGGACTGGAAGTACCGGACACCATAAACGGTTTTGAAAACTTCAGATCAGAATCAAGATTGTTGCCGAAACTATTCTTTATACATCCATGGGTACAACTTCAGATAAAAATGAACACATAATGAAATATGACCCCCGGTTTGATGATTGACAGGTCACAGAACAATGGGGGCTATCTACCCTTACCCACAATTTAAAGTAATTCACACAGACTATCTCCTCTTTGATCTTCTCTCTGTGAGGAGCAGAAAGTTCAGCTGTCAGAACAAAGTGAAAAACAAACAATGGCATCAAATATTATTAATATGTCGGGTAGTAATAGATTCATTTATTTTCTTCTCAGAGTGTACCAGAATGTGTAGTTTATATGTTAGTATTTCTAAAAATCTCCCCCTTCTGGGGTTGGGTTTTCAGCATGTGTACCTTTCTATGTTATACAGTTCTGCTTTGATTCCATCATCTCATTAAACCTTATTTAAAGCATACTTTAGTGTGAAGGGATATATGCACTGTACTTCACTTTTATTCATATTGTATTCTGAAAAGCGTATATATATTACTGCACGATTTTTTGTTGAATAGATTTGAGTGGTTCAACATTTCGTGTCGCGATTTATTGACAAAGGAAAAAGTGGGTCCCGAGGCCTGACCAGTTGAGAACCACTGCCCTAAATCATCTTAACTTTTTTTAAAACACACGTTTGGTTTGCCTTTTTTTACTTTTATTGATTTGATACAGGAATACAAAACTATTTACATTTTTTATGAAGATACAAAAATATGAAAATCTATCGTACATGAAAGCTTGATACATTTCCAAGCTGCCAAACATTCCTATATCATTTGTAACTAGCCACTACATTTGAAATGGCTAATGTGGTCAATTATTGGACAGCATTCTTACCAAATGCAGGCTTTGTCTGAGACTATTGGACCAAATATAAGCCTCCAGTAAATATGTAATAAGGGACCAATGAAGCAACCCATTTAAAAAGAAAAGTGAACCATGGCTCCTCTAAATCTGTACAGAACTGATGGAAAACAGCTTGGTGTAGTTACCTCAATCACACTTAAAGAAAAACCTAAGACTGGA